CTTACTTCTTAATTTTATACCCTTTATATGTCCGATAGTTTGAACAATATTACTTGAATTATCCAACTCTAGAAAAACTAACAGAAGATGATGGTATGTTACTTAATTTGTATTGATGTGTGTAATATATCTAATTCACACCAACAAAAATAAAAATTAAAATTAAAATTAAAAAAGTTTGTTTTTTAATTATTTTTTACATATTGCAATTTGAATCTGACATAAAATCTTAAATCTAACTGAAAAATAAAGATAAATGTTTTATCTCATTTTGAATTTGTCCCAACATTGATCTAAATGAGATATTGTCATGAGTTCCAAAAAAATAACTTTAAAAAACACTTTCATTTAAAATTGTTTTTCATATTTATTAAATGAAATTATGTTAATTGTTTATAATAATAATAATAAAAAAAAGATTATATAAAAAAAGGAATTTGCACTTACCCATCAAAAGTGGAAAAGGGACGAAAATGATTTGTGCAACCCTCCAAAAAATTAAAAAGGTTGGTAATTTGGCCTTAAAAATTAATATATATTCATAATAAATAATTATATTTATATTTAAGTAGTTATTTATAAAAATAATTATGATTATGTCTTGAATTATAGATCATGCATAGGAATTAATAAAATTTGTGTGAGATTAATAAATAGTCTTCAAGGAAAAGTAACATTTTCTCAAAGTACTCCATAGTAATATATATGTTACTTTTAAATTTAATACTAAAAATGATTTTTTTTTCAATATTTATTTCAATGAGATTGTGTCCTATGTTAGTACTATGAAGAAAATAATAAAAATTCTAGTATGTAAAAAAAAACTCCCATTTACCTTGAAAATAATAAAGACCAAAATAATTAATATGGCCATCCACAAAATTGAAGTGATATTATTTGTTAAGATAATAATTTTTAATAAACAATTATATTTATAATTAAGTGTTTATTTGTAAAACTAATTATGTTATTAAAAATATAAAAGTAGTCTTCCACTTCAACATAATTGAAGGTGTAATTACTTGGCCTTGAGAATATGAGAATAAATTTTAACATAATATTACATTTATAATTATATATTTATTTATAAAAATTAATATGTTTATGGTTGAGTTACATAAAAGTTTAAAAAAAGGTGTAGTAAATGTAGCTTTGGGAATAGGAGAGTAATATTTAATAAATAAATAAATATATATACATAATTAGGGGTTTTTTTTTTTGTAAAAACTAATTAAGTTTATGATTGTATTTACATAGAAGTTAACAAAATTTATTTCATATAATACATGTAGTTTTGGAGGGAAAAAGAATTTTTTTTCTAGCTGCTTGGCTTTAATATATATATAGATAGATTCATAAGAATTAATATTAATTGTGAAAAAAAAAAGCCTAATTTATAAAGGGAAAATGTAAGCAATCTATAATAAATGAAGGAAAATTAAAATGGTGTATAAGGTTAATAAAAGTTGGATAGATAGACAGGATCATGCGAGGCAACGAATGTCTTCCCGCAATTAAAGGTTTAGAAAATTGTTCAGATTATGATTATATAGCTTCACTTTATTTTTAAATTTGTCAACTAGTTGATGTTTCTTTTACATAAACCCAGGAACTTTAAATGGTGGGGTATTTGTTTTGCTTGGGACTTGAGTGAGGAAATCGACATGTAGTTGTCCTCTTAGACTTATGACCTGCGAGTGAGGAGTGGTGCATGTGGCTGCCCATTACGATTTTGTAGGTCGTATGTCGGTCGTTCGAACACCATTTTAATCTATAAATTTACTTTTACCGATAAAAAAATATGGTGGGGTAAGTGAATTTTGCCTTTTTTTTTTTTTT